GGGGCCCCCTGCCACCCTCCGCCCGGCCCTGCAACCCGCTGGGCTCGGCCTTGCGCTGAGCGCCTGGGGCCCCCCCGGCTGCTCCCCGCTCCACCACCCCACCGTGGGGCCACCCCGGCTGCGTCCCCCCCGCTGCGCCTCAGTTTCCCGTGGTGGCATGCTGGCGTGAGACGCTCGTGGGGCTGGAGCCGTCAGGTTGGCCTCTGATACTTCGGGGTGCAAGCCCGCTTTCTGGGGCCCGTGAGCTGGCTTTCCCTGTGCACGGTCCCCGTGTGCCAGCCAGGAGGGGGACGGGGATTTTTGGGGTGGCACGGCAGGGCTGAGCCCGCTCCGCGGTTCAGGGCAGCCCCATGGGTGCTGGGTCTCCGGCTGTGTCGCTCCATCACCCTCCGGCCCCGCAGAGGAGCTGGGGTCGCTTCTGTGAGGAGGAAGGGATTGTGGGGACGGGGCTGTCCCTGCAGCAGAGTGGCCCCCCGGGACTTGCGATGACAGTGCTTTCTGCTGGTGGAGAAAGGCCCCGGCAGGGCTGGGCACAGGGGGTCCTGCACCCCCCGTTTCCCTGCATGTGGCACGGAAACGCTCCCACTGCCGGGGCTGGGGTGAGCGGGCCCCCAAGGGCAGTCAGCACCCGAGGGGACAGTCCCAGCGGCATGGCGTGCCATGGCCACCAGCCCTGGGCACAAACCTGCCCTGCTGCCCCTGGGGCTGGATCCGGCCCTGCTGAAGGCCTCCGGCCCCAGTGTGAGGAGGGTGAGGATGAGCCATGGCCCAGCCGGGGGAAGCCTGGCTGCCCTGGCACCCAGCAGCAGGGACCTCCATGGCCGAGCTCTCCTCAAGGCAAATAACCCCTGTCAAAACAGGCAGGGCAAGGTAGTTTGAACCTGCTGCTTTCTGCCAGCTCAGGGACCGCTGCCCCGTGCTTTGGGGATGGTTTTCAGGGAAAACGGATGAGAACATTGCAAATTGGTAAAAGCATCCACACTTTGGGATAAAGCACAGGCCACTTCCTAGCAATGGGAGTGAGCAAAAGTAGGACCCGGCCCCTCACCCTTGCTGTTTCCATCGCAGCTCCTGGTCAGGAACCAGGTGCCAGCAGGCATTTGGGCTCCTCGGACTCAGCTCTCGCATCCTCATGCGTGGGTTATCAACCCGTGTTCCCCCCGCACGCATGGCCCTGCCCTGGGACCCCTCCAGTCTCAGCATGCGTGCCAGCGGCCTGCGGGCTCGCCCCGTCAGCTGGCTCAGAAATTAGCCTCCATCAAGTTAATTGCCAAACCGCTCAAAGCCTGAAATTAAACATTAAAGCTGTCGCTCGCAGGCACAGAGCAATCTCCCCCCCGCCCCAGCAAAAGGCAATTCTGGTTGTCCAAGCGGAGGGAAGATGGATTCCCCGGCTTGAGGCAGCACCGGGATGGAGCAGCTGGTGATGGTCCCCGCAGGTGCTATGGGACAAGTCCCCAGCACAGCCCGGGACCCCGCTGCTGCCGGGGCTGGGCAAACCCTGAGCTGCAGACAGTCCCTTTCCCAGAGGTTTCCTTGCTCTGGTAGCAAAAGGGCTGAATGTGCCTGTGAGAGCCTTCCTGGGATAAAGTTCGCTCAAATCCTGGCTCTCCTTGGCTCTGCAGGGCGGGAGCCTCCGAGGGGGACCCTGGGTGCTGAGGTGGCTGCTGGGGATGTCGCCCAGCCCTGGGGTATGCTCCTGCTCCCCAAGGACAGACAGAACGCTTTTCCCTGGTCTCTTGCTTGTAAAAATATTGCCTGAAGTGGGGTCTGCCAGGGTGGCTCCAGGATCTGACCGGCTTCTCCTTGGCCTTGCAGTGACAGGCTGTCCCGGAGGGGAAATGCATCCTGAATGGGGCTGAGGCCCCCTGCGCGGGAATATGCAGCCTCGGCGCCGCAGGGGCAGCACCAGGGCAGCGGCCGGCGCGCAGCGGCATGGTGGCAACGTTCAAGATCGCCGTGCTGGGAGCCCAGGGCGTGGGCAAGAGTGCCATAGTCCGGCAGTTCCTCTACAACGAGTTCAGCGAGGTCTGCGTGCCCACCACGGCCCGCCGCGTCTACCTGCCTGCCGTCGTCATGAACGGCCACGTCCACGACCTGCAGATCATGGACTTCCCCCCCATTACCGCCTTCCCCGTCAACACCCTGCAGGTAGGGGCACACCCGGCTCATTGCGATGGGACCCCCATGTTGCGGGGTCTCTGGTGACCTCAGCGGGGTCTCGCTGTATAACCCTGCAGGGTCCCGGTTCCTCCTCTTCGGGGGATGCTTCTCCCTCCATGTTGGGGTTTGCTTGCTAAAAGCCAGTGAGAGGGATCGCATCCTCATGGCTACCAGCTGAGCGGGCCCAAGATAAAGTGTCTTTGAAAGCTTTTTCACCTAAAATGATGGCAAACGTGGGAGGGTCAGTGTCCCACTCCGAGGACCATGGCTTTGGCCATGCCCACAGCCCCAGCCAGCTGGGCGGTGGAGCCCGGAGCGCTGGGATCCAGCTCCATGGCTGTCAGAGCTGGCATCAGCAAAGGGCTGGGGGAGCGTGACCAGAGCACGCCGGTGAAAACCAGTGGTTCCTGGAGAGCCAGACCCCGATGCACCCACTGCCCAAGCCAGGCGGAGCGAGGCTGCTTGTCCCCTCCCGGGGTGGCCATCACCCCCCCCGGCATTGCCGGGGCTTGTCCCTGGAGTGCTGAGCCCACCAGCTCCTCCTCAAACCTCCGGCGCTCTCAGGTGCTTCCAAAACAGCCCCAAAAGGCAGTGTGGGGTTGGAAAGCATTGCCACCAGTGCCGACAGCGTCAGGGGGGTTTAATGGTTTTCCCCATTAAAAAAATTAAAATTAATTAAATTCAAATCCCCCAGGGGATTTTAAGCTCATGCCATAGCCTCATCCCAGGGGCACAAGTTGTGCCACCGCTGCAGGGAAAGGAGCTAGAGGTGCCCAGCCGTGGCCGCAGCCACGCTGGAGGGCAATGCCGCCGGTGGGGGCACCTCCGCGGGAGCTGGGCTCTCTTGTATTTTTAATGAATGTAATTATATTGCCCCCGTGCCCAATGGGGACAGGGTTATAGGGGCCTTGTAGGGCTCCAAGTTTCCCCTGTGCCACTGGGCAGGAGGCGAAGTGAGCACTCCGGGGGCGAGGAGGAGGTTTAAAAATTAATCGGCGTGTGCAGGGAATGAAAGGTCAGCGCGAGAGACAGCCCGAAATAGCAAAGGGTAATTTATTGACACGGCAGCCGATGCTAACATACTCGATTAACTCCCTGCCTCGCTGCGCTCAAGAGGAGGCGGCTGGTGGGAACAGATGGAGGTTTCCAGGGAAGAGAGGATGGTCAGAGGGATGGCTCCGAGGGGAAAAGAGAGGACCGCGGTGGGGGATACGGCTTTGCCTGCTGGGAATCATCACTGGGCTCTGCTCCGTGCCCAGGAGCAGCACCCCTGCGGCGATGTCCTGGGAGAGGAGCGGGGGCTAGCGGTTCCCCAATGTCCCACTCCTGTGTGGGACCAGCGGGATGTGCAGCACGACCCTCCTCCAGCCCCGAGCATCCCGGGGAAAGCTGCCCCGTGCAGGGAAAACCATCCCGACGTCACAGCGCCAGAGCAAGCTGCACCCCAGCGTGGTGAAATAGCTGCAATTTAGTAATCTCCCAGGTGTATCGGGACTCAGAGTAACCTGAGACACTGCCGCTTCATCCACCTGCATCTCTCTGATACCACGGAGCTACACATCATCTCCTCCCCTCCGTGGATGGGAGAGGGGCTGTGCCATGCCGCTCGCTCCCAGCTCATCTGCGACGGAGACCAACCCCAACCCCAAAACTTTCCTTTTCCCCATTTCCTTCGGTCCTAGGTCTTCTTGTTTTGCCTCATTCCAATGATAAACTCAGAAAGGGATGACTCACGGTCCTGAAGAGGTTTGCTGGGGGAGAAGTGATGCCTTTCCTCCTTGGTGCATCTTTCTCCTCTCCAGTTGCACTCAGGAGGGTTTGTGGTGCCGCCTGCATGGGCTGCCATTCCCCGGTGTCACTGCAGCCCTGGTACCACTGCGGGGCTGGGAAAGTGGCTGGAAGTGGGGCAGATTTTCACTCCTATAGCATGGAAAAAAAAAAAACAACTGTTATTCCTGGAAACCCAAAGCTTTCCTAACAGCTGTTTCTTACAGGTCCAAATTTTGGCTGCGGAGAGGCCACCCCTGACTGCCTCTGCCCTGGCTCCCAACTTCACTCTTGCAGGCCCCCCTCCCAAAGCAGCCGCTGCTCCTCTCGTGTCCCCTCTGAAGAGCCCTGCCCTCACCTTCCCCCTCTGACCCACAGAGCTGCTGGTCCATCACCCCCAGTCCCACGGAGCCGGGGCCGGGCTGAGCCCCGCTCAACCCTCAGCACCCTCCTCACCTGCCCTGCCCGAAAACCAGGGTGCATCACTAATTAACACACCCAATTAGCAGCTCTGAAGGGTGAAGCTTTTACATCCAGGGCAGGGGGTTGCATTCAGCCCTGCTCCCAGCTCATGTCCGGACCACTGTGCGTTAGGCAGGTGTTAGGCAGGCTGTAATCCTTGCTCAAGAGAGGAATTGGGGCTGACAGATCCTGTTATCTCTCCTCTGGATTAACAAGGGGGATACGGGATCTCCGGAGATGCGGGGGGATTGCTGAAGGGCCGCGGGGGCAGATGCAGCCATTGCAGGAACGGGTTGGGGCAGAGCAGAGGTGAGCTGGGTGCTGGGTGTCGGGGCTGGAGAGCGTGCGGCCCCCTTGCTGCCTGCCGGTGTAGCAGCCTCCTTGGTGTGCCCAGCCCCGAAGCGGTGCGGGGCATCCCCCAGGCACGGCGATGGGGCTGAGCCAGGATTGATCCCTCTCTGCACCTTGCAGGAGTGGGCGGACGTGTGTTGCAGGGGGCTCCGGAGCGTCCATGCCTACATCCTGGTCTATGACATCTGTTGCTTTGACAGCTTCGAGTACATCAAAACCATCCGCCAGCAGATCCTGGAAACGAGGTAGGGACCACTTCGCTGGTGGGTGCATCCCTCCGCAGCTCCCGGCAGGGCAGTTTGGCTCGCCCCAGCGCTCCCCTGCTCTTGACATTGGAGATGAGATATTAGAGACTGGGGCAAAGCCTCTTTGCAGAGCTGGGAGCCTAAAAGCAAAAGCAAAACTGGACCCAAGGGCAGCAGAAGGAGCGGGACCTCTGTAGGCAAGGGCAGCCATCCCTGGGAAAGCAACTGGGGCTGGCATGCTGCGTGGCTGGCCACAAAGAGGGACAAGGGGACAGACCAAGAGGAGGCACGTCCCTCTTGGCAAGCCAAAGCCAGGTGCTGGTTTGGGATGGGTTGGAGTCCTCTGGCCGGTCCATCGTTGTGCTCTGCCCCCATCCCCTTCTGTCCTCCCTCACCGCCCACCCTCCCCAGGGTCATCGGCACTTCGGAGACACCCATCATCATCGTGGGCAACAAGCGGGACCTGCAGCGGGGCCGGGTGATCCCGCGCTGGAACGTCTCCAACCTGGTGAAGAAGACGTGGAAGTGCGGCTACATTGAGTGCTCGGCCAAGTACAACTGGCACATCCTGCTGCTCTTCAGCGAGCTCCTGAAGAGCGTGGGCTGCGCCCGCTGCAAGCACGTCCACACCACCATCCGCTTCCAGGGCGCCCTGCGCAGGAACCGATGCACCATCATGTGAGCGCCCTGCCCTGACGGACCCCCCCCAAGCCGTGCCCCTGTGGCCTCCTGTCCTCGGGGACCACGGGTCCCCGGCGAGCACTGGCATCACTGCTTTCTGAAGGGGTGATGCTGCGGTGGCACCTCGGGGTTTGCTTCCCTGCTGGCACTGGCACCCTGTGGTGACATTTGGGGACAGTGCACCTTGGGCGGTGCTGGGCAGGGTGATGCAGTGGCCACTGGCAGGTCGGAGCGGGTGGGTGGCTGGGCTGCCTGGAGGTAGCGAGGGGTGAGGAGGCTAAACCCTCAAGCCCTCTCTGAGCCTCCGGCGGTTGGGGGTCAAAGCCGTCTCGGGGGGGTTGTGTCTCTGCTGTGCCTGAAATGCTGCGTGGCACCAGGGAAGTGGAGAAGATGCCTCAGATGGTGCCCAGAGGTTGGCTGTTGGGTCCATCCTTGCCAGCTCCTGCCCTGGCATCGCAGGGGCCACACTTGCTGCTGCCTGCCATCACCTGCCCCCCCAGAAGAAAATTGCTCAGCGCCTGTGGCCCGATGCGCCGGGGTGGCCCAATCCCTGGGGCACAGTGGAGCCGAGTGTCCCATTTTCCTCCCCACGGAGCTGGGGTTTCTCCCCTCGGAGGGCAGAGAAGCCTCCGGCAAGAGGCCAGGTTACACAGGCTCTCTTTTGGCTCGGTTGGGTCAGATTTCCAGGCAGAATTTCTGAGTGAAAGCAAGAAAGGGGGGCAAGAAAAAAAATCAAGCCCCTAAAGCCCCCATCCTGCCTCTTACGTCCCCCCAGGGTGCTGGGTGCTGCTTCCCCAGGGCTCTGAGTCCCCCTTCTGCACCGGTTCAGCCGAGGAAGGCTTCTCCTCCCCACCAGCCTGTCGAACACCAAATAATCACGAAACGCTCCTTGCCGGGCAGGTCACCCCTCCGCTACCTCGCGTCCCGGGCTCAGCGGGCAACTGGCTTTGCACGGCTCCGACCCCGGCGTCCCCCGGGCAGGCAGGCAGCCCCCCCGTGCCATCGCACCTCACCAGCGGTGCCGTGAGGTGGGTCCGACCCGTGCCGGGCTTTCCCATGCAATGCTCGCCTCCATCCACGTGAGACGACGACGGTGCGAAGGCAGCCTCCAAAGCAATAGGGAGCTGGAGTTGCATTTCCAGTTACATTCCTTTTTTTTTTTTTAATTAATTCTGTGCACATCCCTAATAGGAAAGTGAGCTCCCCATTTATTTTTTTTTATTCCTTTTTGATCTTTCAGCTTGTTTTTACACCAGACTTGCAGCTCACCTGCATCTTGTCCTGCAGGGTGGGTGGCAAAGCACAGCCTGCATTAGCAAACGGTGTCAGGTCTGTGTGCCGGTGAGGGGCAAGCAAGAGGTCGAAGGGGCTGTGGTTCTTCTTTCCTGGCTGCTCCCTGTGAGACATGGGGAAATGCCATCCTCACCCCCCGAGGCAGGATCTGAGGCTGGTCCATCCTCTGGCAAAACCATCTCAGTGATTTCTGGTGTAACGAGGGATGCAGGTATTCAGCGCCGCTCTGGGCAGTAAAGCAAAAGGATGCCAGCCCCATCCCTTCCCCCACGGCCAGGTTTCCATCTGACAGAAGCACCCTGTGCTCTCGGTAACACTTTCTATTAAAAGCAGGTCCAGCTGAGCTCGGGCATTGTGCATTTCACCACCCCGTCCCTGCCGCGGGCCATGCACCGCGCTGCAGCCCCGATGCCGCAGGGCTGGGGGTCACCCTGCTCCTCCCTTCCCACTCCCAGCAGCCGCTTCGGGAACCAAACCCCATTCCCCTTGCTACCGAAACAAAAAGGAGAAAAAAGAGAAAAGGCAACAGGGGGGACACGGGTCCGTCTCAGGTGGCTGCGAGGGCCCGGCTGGGGAAGGGCCGTGGCACTCATCTCCATCCCTCGCCTTCATGGCAAACATACTGGGCTTCACCACAAGCCCCCCCGACCTCATCTCGTCAGGATTTATTAACACGTGTAAGTCCACGTTATCGGTCTCTGGCTAGCTTTATCCCTCCAAATTGTTTGAGAAGGAAACTCCTTGGTAAATGCTAATAATAAAGCATTTATAAAGTGCTCCGACATACACATATCAACGACTAAGCCAATACATTGTTTGTTATAACCCTGTAGCCTGCAGTTTATAGCACAATTAGTTACAGGTTTTTATAGCATCTATTTAGTATTTTGGAAAAAAAAATGTTATAAATATAATTGTTATATTCTATTGTACTTTATAGACAGAGAAAGTTATATTAGTAATAATAACTCTCACTGCTTCGACAGCATTTCCCAGCTCCCAAGAAAAAAGAGGGCTACAAAGAGCTACTTTCCCAAGAGCTCAGGAGGGGGTAGGTGGTGGTACCCATCGGGTACAGGTAGGGAAACGGGGTGGTGGTACCCGCTGGTACAGGCAGGGAAACGGGGTGGTGGTACCCACCAGTACAGGCAGGGGAACTGGGGCAGGGAGGTCCGGCGAGCAGCCAGGAGCACAGCAGCAGCCACATCCAACCCGTGCCTTGCCCCTGCTCATACCCTTAGTACAAAGTGTTACCGCTCGCCCCACGCCACCCTGGTCCTGCTAAAAATCACCTGCTCCTGAGCCTGGGGGAGGCTAAGGATGTCCCCACCGCTGTCCCCAGGGCAGTGCCGGGTTTCTGCCCACCCGTGCGCGTGGTGCCGCAGGAGGCGATGCCTGGGTTCGGTCCAGCCCCGGCGAGGATGCTTCCCTCTCCTCCTCCTCCTGCCCTGGTGAGCGTCCCGGTTGCCTGGACTTGGCTTTCCTTTCCCCCCTGGACTTCTTGTTGGAGATTCCTGAGGTGTCTACACCGCCTGTAACGCCCTGCACCCCCTTCTTTGAAATCAAATTAAAAATCAGGTCTGTTCCCCCTTGTTCTGTACCCGCCTTGCTGCTCTTTGCCCGTGGCACCAGATTGCTCGCCGTCCCACTGCCACTCTCGCAGCCCTTCTGTTGGAGGCCATGGTCGAGGGTGGGGGAATTTGTTTCTCCCCTGCAAAAAGAGTACTTTTGCAAGCAGGTTTTGCATCCACAAGGCCCTGGTGCTCACCCTTGCTGCTCCTCCGCAGGGGTGTGGGTCTGGCTTCATCCTCTCTTGGAAGATGGGGCTCTTCTGGCCCCCGGGGGCTCTCAGAGGGACGTTTGCTGTGCACACAGGCAGCAGACCTGCAGCATGAATTCCCTTCACCAGCCATGGCCCCCCCATCAGGATTATCCTCTCTCCCTCCTCACCCACACAGAAATGATGCTGAAACAGAAGAGCTTTGGTATCTCTCTATTGCACAAACAACAGTGCCGGGTCCGTGGCTGCAGGCATGGGAGTGTGGTGGTGCCTGCAATGAGCCTTGGTGACAGCCATCACCGCCGAGGTCACCACCGACCCCCCCAGGTCTCCCACCTTCGCCCATAAGGAAGCCGCGGTGCTCAGCAAGGGTCACCTCCTGTGACACCCCCCCCCCGACCTGAGTGACTCAAACACTCATTAAGGCTCTTGGTGCTGTAAGACATGAGGATGGTTAGTCCCATTGTACAGACAGAGAAGACTGAGGTACGAGATGGTTTGCATGCTTGGATGCCAGGTGCAGGGTGTCCCCACTTTAGGGGGACACCATAGGGGCCAGTTACAGTTCCCCTGCAGAAAGTGCCCCTTTCTCACAATTTGGGGCTGGATTTTTCCACCCAAACCAGTACAAGACCGCCTGTTTAGGAGGAGAATAACCAGTCCAAAAAAAACCCCATGGGGAAGGAGGGGGTGCAGCTCTGAAGAGCAAGCGGGGGACCCCTGGGTTGCCTGGGAACAAATCCATCGTGCTGCCCACGCTGACCTCGGGCTCCGCAGCTCCAGGTTCAGCATCGCTCCCACCTTCGGACGAGTGAGGGGTCCATCCCTGCTGAAACTTGGGGTGAGGGGGTCAGACCCACGCCTCCTCATCGTCCTCGGTCAGCCAGGCGCTGCTGTCGGCCGGCGAGGGCTTGGCCCCAGGATGGGTGCCACTGGGCTGGGGGTGCCGGGGGGGCCCTGGGGGGTGATGCTGGCCCCGGGGGGCTGACAGGCGCTGTCCCAGCGGGGTGGGGATGCGTGAGGGGCGCTTGCCCGGCCTGTGGTCCCGCCGGGGACGCACCTTGGGCCGCAGCTTCAGCTTATAGATGGAGGGCACACGCTCCGGTTTCTTCAGGCACCGCCGGGGCTTGGGGACATTGCTGACCCTGGCTCCCCGCGGGGTCTGGCCCCCTGCTCCCAGCCCCTCCACCTCCCCTCCATCCAGGAGGGCCGTGGGCTGTGGGGTGGCTCGCGGAGGTGTTTTGGGGACTCCGCTCCCCAGCCCCACAGGGCGCAGGGGCTGCCTCCCGTGGGAGAGCTCATCCACCACCCTGTCGTAGCCAGGGGGCTGTGCATGCCCCCAGCACCCCCGGAGCCCCTCACTCCCCCTGCCAGGGCCACAGGCTGCCCCCAGTTCATCCGCTGGCATCCCGGGTCCCTCAGCACCCACAGCCCTTGGGCTCAGGGCTGGGTGGCACTGCCGGGTCCCCTGGGGATCCCCTCCAGCAGCACAGACTTTGCACCCATCTGCAAAATGGGCCGGAGGGGTGGGGGGCCGGCAGACGGCCGGGCTGGCTTTGACGGTGGATTTAACGCTGCTGTCCTGTTTTGGAAGCCGGCTGGAGGAATATCGGGGTGAGGGTGATTGACCCCGGCTGAGGGCTCCCCGGCTCCCTTCCCGTGGGCTTTTCCAGCTCTGTGAGTCTCCCCGGGCATCCTGATGTGGGCAGGGGGCACAGAGCTTGATGGGGCTGGGGGCACGGGGTGTCACCACGGTGGGGACCCCCGGTTCCTGTAGCCTGACAGCTGCCACAGATGATTTGCCTCCTTGCTGGGTGCTTTTTGGGGGTGCTGGTGTCAGCCGGTTGCTGGGTGCCATGGACCTGCCCCGTGCCGGTGCCGCAGGGTTTTTCCCTGGGGTGCTCCCCCGCGGCACCTTGGGGACCCCCACGTTGTCCTGCATGCCAGGGGCCAGCTGGGAAGGGGTGGGTGCCCGACTTGTCACCCCATGGCCAGGGGAGCTGGGTTGAGAGGGCAACCTGGACGGTGGTGGCTGCTTCCCCAAAGGGGCAGCCGGTGGCTCCCGTGTCCTGTAAGGAGAGAGAGAGGAGAGAGGCCGGGGAGCTGCTGCTTCCCCCCTCCATCCAGCCTGGTGCTGGGCACCTCCAGAAGGGAAGGGGAAAAAAAAATTCAGGGATTTGAGAAAAACTACTCTGATACCAGGCAGTTTGGGGCACAAGGCATCTCTGCACTGCTTACCTGCTTGAAGGGACCCTCCGGGGCTGCGCTGGCTCCCGGCGAGGGCTGGCACCCGGTGGGCGACCCGAGCCCTCCGGCGAGGGGGTGGCAGGGCCCCGGGGGCCGGGGGGGACACGGGACCCCCAGGTGACGGGGGGCAGGGGGCTCTGCGAGCGGCTGACCAGCAGCGCGGGCTGGGGATGGCCGCGGGTGGCTGCCTTTGAGGCCGGGCACAGACAGATCTCATGCTGCACTTGCTGCTGGGGGGTCCTGGTTTTCCAGGCTTGTTTGTGAGCTGTGGGGAAAACAGGAGGGCTCAGCACCCCTGAGCATTGCACCCACCCCCGGGCGCAGCCCACCCAGCCGTTGCTCAGCATCCAGCCCCCCGGGGATGCTGGTGCAAACCTGTGTTCCCTGCAAAGGGGCTTTTGGGGTGCGGCTCATCCAAAAGTCTGCCGTGACCTCTAGTGGCCACCAAAGCCAAAGAGAGTCCCCAAAACCAGACATTCCCCAGCAAAGTAACGAGGCATCGTGGTAACGAAGACTCCCACTCCTGCAAACGGCCCCAGAAGCAGCGAGACCCACGACGGACCCCCCTCACCCAGCCATGGGGCAGAACCACGGGGTTTGGGGACGCAGGGACTCACAGAGCGAGGTGCAGCGGCACGGGTCGTGTTTGTCCAGGTAGTGCTCCAGCGTGTCCCAGCCGCCCCCGACGCGCACCATGATGTGCTCTCGCAGGATCTGCACGGGATGCCGTGGCTGTGAGGCCCAGAGAGGTGCATGCAATGCACCCATGGGACCCCCACCTCTTTTTAAGCAGCATGGGGGTGGCATGCTCAGCCGGGCTTCAAGAGCCGTGGGCTTGCCCTAAGTGCCACCAGGTCTCCCAAAGGACAGCTTCATTCCTGGCTCAGCACCACTGAGGCAGGGAGGGTCTCAGCTCCCCCTGCCATCCTGACAGGCACATTTCATCACCCCAAGGAGAGTGGGGAGCCTTTTGGAAATCCCCTCTCCAGCGTCTTGTGCTGATCCCTTTGGGAAGGCCAGGCTTAGGGACGAATCCAGGCAGGGACAGAGCATCCCAGTTGTTCCCATTGCTGGGTAAGACCTGGCTCTGGCTTGGGTGGGATGGCAGGTTTTGTCCCGTACACAGGGATGGTTGCATCCATGCAAACACGTACTGCAGGGCCAAGCTTCCCTGCTGCCCTGCTTTGGGGAGAACGGTCAAAACCCCCACACTGGGCGATGGATTATGGAAAAGGCTTCGTGGCAGCAGAGCAGGATTCCTGGTGCCTGTGCCCCAAAAGCACGGGGCAAATCAGACTCACCCTGACAAAGATGAGAGTGTCAGAGTCGCCCACACGGTATTTCCCTTCGGATATCTTGATCATGGGGAACTGGACGGGGCAGGTACAGCGGCTCACCAGATGCTGGACCTGTGGGCAGCACAGATGGGTCCTCACCAGGGCTCCTGGGAAGGGTCCTGGGGTGGCCATCCCTATCCCGATCTTCATCCCCGTCATCTCCATCCCCCTCCCCCTCCCCATCCCGCTCCGTGCCTCTCCGTACCATCTGGTCGAGGTTGTGGAGGTCCCGTGGTTTCTTGGGGGGCCGGGGCAGGGGGGTGTCTGTGGGCGGCAGGTCCAGCTCCTGGCGGAGCTCCTCCTCGATCTCCTCCTCCATCTGCACGAGGGTCGGGGCGCGCATGCCAAAGCGGGCTGCGCGGCGTGCCAGCTCCAGCAGGCACAGCACGAAGTTCTTCTCGTTCTTCCTCAGCACCAGGTCCTCCGTCTCAAACATCAGGACGTCTGGGGCAGGGCAGGGCTGGGCTGAGCCCAGGCGGGTGGGGATGGGGACAAAAGGGACAGGGGGCACAGGGGGACTCAAAACCCGCCCAAAGGGATAATATTCCTGCTAGGAATATGGTTGGGTACCACAAGAGTTGGGATAAATTAACAGAAGAAGAGCCTTCCCCTTGGGCATCTACATGCAAAGGCACTACAGCTGTTTCGTGGCATCCCAAAGCCACAAAACCCAGTGGCTGGGTGTGCTGAGGACGTGTCCCTCCAATCCCATGCCCCTCCTGGGCACTCGCTGGTGGTGGGGACAGGGTGACAGACCCTTTGCTTAGAGCCAGAACTGCTCCTGATGTCCTTACGGCTGAGATTGTGCCATGCACGGCAGGACCACGCTACAGCACACGCCCTTTCCATTTCCATCCCCCCAGCACATATTTGCACCCAAGCAAACACACCTGCTGCGTGCCAGCACCCTGCAAAGCTGCTGCTGAGGAGCTTATGCAAGAAATCCCAGCTCAGAAATTTCTTGTGTTTGCAGTGCTGCCCGACGGTGGGGTGGCACAGGCTTTGGGGAACACATGGGAAAGCACCCGGGGTGATGCCAGGAGCAGCTGGAGGGGAACTGCACAAAGGGACAAGGAGTGGCTGGAGCCCAGCATCCTACCTTTAACATCCATCTCCTTCCTGCACCATTGGATGAAGTTGGAGACATTGTCCCTGGCCTGGAAGGTGCCTGGCTGTGCTGCAAGGTTGCAGGCGACGCCAGTGGTGGGCAGGCGGAGGTGGCGGGCCATGCCAGGGCAGGCACGGGCAAACTCCCCGGCCACGTGGGTGATGTTGTTGGCGTGGGAGCAGAGCACGGCCCCCGTCTCCAGCACCTCCACAAAGGTGCCCACCTCGATGTCTAGGTTGTACAGCTCCTTCAGCCACTCGGCCAAGTCCTCCTTCATGGCGTAGAGGTACTGCTCGCTGGACTGGTAGGGGCGGATGCTCCGCACCGCAGCGCCCGGCATCCCCCACATTTTGCCATAAGACTGGGAAGAGACCGAGGGAAAGGGGTGATGGGGACATGGGTGATGGGAACACAGGCGATGGGAACACAGGTGATGGGAACCCAGGTGATGGGGACATGCAGAGCTGCCCTGGCCCATGTCCCCAGCCCACCTCCCCAGCAGCCACACTCACCCAGTGCCACTTGCTCTCTGCCACCCAGGACGGTGACGCCGTCCTCCCGGTGCCGGGAGCCTTCTCGGGGTCCACGGGCTATAATGCAGCGTGGGGAAAGGAAATCACTCTCCTGGGCAGTGGGTGTTTTGTTTCCTTCCCAAGTGCTGTTCCCTTCTCCTTGGTGACAAGGGACCGGCTGCAAACACTCCCTGTTAACACTTCAGCGCCTGCTCCTCTGCCGGGAGCCCTGCTCCTTCTTCGCCAGCTGCCCCAGGGGTGGATTTTCCACGGAGGTCCCCAGCTCCAGGGCAGGAGGGAGTTAGAGAGCAGCTCTTCAGCATCCCAAGTTGCTCAGAACTCCAGAAGAGGGGGATTTTCCCCCTCTCTGCCACCCCTGCACGCACCTCCACTGCATGTGGAGTGACCTGGGGGCCCTACAAGATACATCATCAGGGCTGGGTACCCCTGAATTGATAGCCCTGAGGCAACCACATTTTTGCACCCATTTTTACAGGCACGGACACTCTGTTGAGATGCCACCGCGTGCCGTTGCCAGCCCAAACGTGCCATGGCAAGAAGCCCACCCGAGCAGGGGAGCCCCAGCATGGGTGACGCCCAGCACGGCTCCCTCCTCCCTGGGCTGGGTGCCCAGAGGGATGGAGAGAGACTGACCTCAGTGTGGGTCTGGTGTGAGGACCTCTGAACGCTTTGGGCAGGTGATGGTCAGACCAGTCCCTCCACATCTCTCCTGCCCTCCACACACCCACGCTGGGGCACAGCGGCACCGGGAGCTGGAAAGCCAAATGCCGAGGCGAAGGCTTCCCAAAGCTGCACGGATCAGGGCAGAGATCCCTTGGAGAGGGCTGGCCCTGATGGTGGTCGGACTCTCAAACTCCTCAGCTCAGCCATCCCACAGGGTTTCTGTGCAACCTGGAAACATCCCAGGGGAGAGAGCTGGAGGAGGAGGAGGAAGAGGCTGAAGAGCTGCAAGAGGTAGAGGGTAGCAACAGATACACCACTGCCATCGCTTGCTCTGTGCCTTCCACCAAGACATGGAGCAAGGGGGTGGTCTGAGAGCTAAGCAGCCCCAAGGAGTCCCAGACCGCCTGCTCTGTCCCCCGGCTCCCCCTCCACCAGCTCCCCCCCCCAGCCCCAGGGCAGCGCTCTCAAGGAAATACCCCCATGCTGACTGCAAGCATCTTCACTCACTCTCATCATTTCATTTCAGCTCCTGGTGAAAACGCCAGTGGTTGCTCATGTTTGGGTGTAAATCCCTACATTTGAACCCAGGCTCATCCCTTGATCCCGCTGCAGGGAACAGACAGGTCTTGTCACCTCCAAAGGCTGGGGCCAGCACAGGTCCCCACAAAGACCCTCCTCCCTGGGAGCCCCCTTCACTCAGGGCTCGTACTGCACATTAGTGGGAGCCGGGAAGCCCTGCGACGTGCACTGTACCAGGGCTCAGCCCAGGCTCCAAGGAAATGGAGTAGCTCCACCTGCAAATCATAGCACAAATCCATCAATCCTCTCCCCCAAGCCTCTTTCTGAAAAAAAAAAAAATAAAATAAAATAAGCACGAGGGGGGTGTATTTGCATGCCTGCCTTTGGGGTTTCTTTGCACTATGCTCTCTTGCAAACTTCTTCCCGAATTGCCCATGACAGCAAGGTCTTCAGCAAAACCCGAACTCCTCCAGGGATGGCGTGACTCCAGGAGCTGGGGCTTTAAGAAAATAACTACAGGGGTGAGTGGGCACTGCTGGGAATGTCAGAGACTCCCTCCCTAAGCCAGGGCTTGCAGAGCTGCCCCTGCACCCAGGTACTTCTGCAAAAAGCAAATCTACCAGGGATATGCTTGCACCTTGGGACTGAAACAGAGCCTCTTGTGAGCTTGGGGGGCTTCTTGCTGTGTCGGGGAACCCCGTCCTCTCCCTGGAGCCAGCTGCTGATGCTCCCTGCAGATCACGGCTGGATCAGCCCGTGTCATTTTGGGGGAGGAAATGCAAGAATCCCAGCTATTCCCCCAGGCTGGGGAATGTGTGGCAGGCTGGCCGGAGGAGTCTGTGCCTGGCATGCCCTGCCAGGGAGCCCAGCAGGAGAAAAGGACCCTTGTGACACATGATTTTCAGCCGGGGCACCCAGTGGGGCCGATCGCATGGCTCAGGGAGACAGTCCACCTCCCCCAGGCCCCCCCCAAACTTGTGGGGTGCAGGCAATGCAGCACAGTCACCCCATCTCTGACAGCAATGCCGTGCTCAGCCCCAGCCCTGACAGCCTTGCTCATGACCTCAAGGCATCCCAACAGCACACAGCCCCCACAAACGCACCGTGGCAAGCAAGGGAGGAAAAGGAAAACCCAAAAATGGGAGAGGATTCGAAGTTTTCCCATCCTCAGCCGTCAGTCCCACCACAGAAGGGATGCCTAGCTCTCTCCTAAGGGGACACGACAGGAGCTAATGACCTGCTGCTTCTCTGCAGAGCTGCAGGTGTGAAGTACCCCTGGGGTACAGACGGACCTATAAATCCTCCCATCTCCAAAAAGTAGTACATGAACCAGGCATCACACTGCTCTTCTGACCCTTCTCAGTGCCCAGAGCAGATGTCTTGGCAGCAAGACCTTGTCCAGCACCAGCCTTTCCCATCAATCCCCCCATCACACTGCAGATCCCACAGCCAGTGGCAGCCAAGGGGGCTGCAGACAGGGCTCCTGGCAGGAGATATGAGCGGGGACGGAGGCAGGACCATCTCTGCCAACACTGTGGCACTGCCTGCGCCGGCCAGCGGGTCCTTCCCCCTGCAGGCAAAATGCTGCCCGCCCAACAGGCAGCACAGGCAGGACGCCCCGGCATGTCGTGGCATGAAGCAAAGCAAACAGGAGCAGCGAGGAAGGTTTCAGGGTGCTCCCTTCCCGTGGGAGGCAAGGACTCACCTTCACACACTGTGATGGGCTGGGGCAAAGGTGGAGACCTGGAGGGCCCCCATCAACATGAATTAATCCTCCATGCTGGGAAAAAACCCTATTAACACATCCCAAGGTGTGGAAAAATCCTCAGTAATTTGGGATGAAGCAGGGAAGAGAGTTCCCATGTCTTCTCCACCGTCAGCATCATGTGCTTCATACAGTGATTTTTCAGTGGGATCCATCCCCCCCATTTGATCCAGCAAGCACAAAAGCTGAGGCCAAATCCAGGAATACCCACTCCAGCCCCAAACACACCCATGCATCTTAAATACAGCCCTTTCAGGAAACAGAGATTGGCTTTACAAAAAAAATACAAAAGCGTGACATGAAAACAAGCAGAAATCCCACAACCACATATCCAGAGGTTCATTTTAGTTGCCATCAGGTCTCCAAGCCCTTGGAGACTCCCTGCAAGCAACATTGCCTTATTATCATTCAATTCAAAATAAAAATGATGCAGCCCTGTCTCTTTGGCAACATTGAACATCCCCTGAGATTTTAGACCATGAGCTGATGAAGTCCCTGTGTCCATGTCTGCACAGGAAGGGCTCTTTCACAAATATCATGGAAAATGGATAGAACCGCTCATGTTGGCTCCCCGTCCTGCCAAATCCACGTCTCAGCTGGCATCTGGCAGCATGGAAAGCCCTCGGGAAGTAGCAGCCCTGGCACCCTGCCTGGGGCAAGCCCTGCTCCTGCCTTCTCTGCAGAGAAGACCTAGGGTGGGTGAGGGCAAGCAGAGGATGGTGCGCTAAAGGAAAGAGTCCTCGAGGCTGCCGGCACCGGGAAAGCACCCTGGCATAGCATCCCAACACAGCGCCCCGGCACAGCAGGACCGGCCGCAGCCCGGTGCTGAAGCCACCAACCCGAAGCAGGGTACGCAGCACCGGGATCCAAGTCCTGGGAGAATCATCAGCAAAGCAGCAGCCCCCCCATGTACAACCCCAGCATGGTGAAAATCCCCAAATGTCTCACATCAAAGGGCATTTTAAGAAAGCTGAGCCCTGTGCTGGTCAGCACTGAGGGCTGGCATTTGCTGCCACTGAATTCACGCCTCGGGGACCCGGCGCTCCCCCACCCTCTGCGGGAGATGATGGCTCTTTGCAGACGTGACCCGTTGCCAGGTGGGGAGCCTGCTTTGGGAAAGGAATGAGGAATATGCAGCCGAGCTGTCCTCGTGAGCCTGCATGCATGGACATGTCCGTCTGTCCTGCTCACCCTCTCCTTTTCCCCTCCTCCCCCTAGTAATTTTTCAACCCAGTTCATCCAACTGCGGCAGAGGGGCACAGGACTCAAAAATACATTGATCCAGACACTTTCTCTGCACACAAGAAAGGCTGCCAGGTGAGCACAACCCTTATTAGACACCGGAGAACCCACCCAGCCATCCCAAACCCATCAGAAAGCCAAGCTGCAATGCGCCTGCTGCCTGCGAGCTGCACAGCGACATGGTCAGCAGCTCAGCTGTACCTCCCCCTGCCCTTCATCCCAAAGAGGCTCCTACACCAAAACCTCTGCTTTCTCCCCAAAAATCCCATGGCATTGGTGTCTCCAAGTGGTGCCTCAGCAGAAGGCTGGGATGTGAGCACAGCCCAGCAAAGCACCCACAGGGGATGGGCTCATCCTCCAGGTACGGCCCCTCCATCCCCGGGGCAAGGGAGGGGAGGAGGCAGGGGAGGGGGCTCTGCACACGCAGTGGGGGCAAAGCAAAACATGGACCTCTATTTTTGTCCAAATGTCTCTTTTTTCTTTTTGTTTTAACCAGGAAACATCCTAAAAGCAGCTGAGCTCCAAACCAAGCAACAGTGAGGCACTTCTCTGCCAGATCGTGGGAAAACAACAGCTAAAGTATCAACAAACCCCAGTCCCGGTTTGAAAGAAATGCAT